CCCGCCTATCCCAGCTACGAGGAGAAGCACACGCCCCTGAACATGTCGAATGGCATCGAGACCACGCCGGATCTGGTGCGCAGCCTGCTCAAGGAAAGTCTCTGTCCGTCGAATGTGTCGCTCCTGAAGCCGGATGCCCTCACCATGCCGGGACTGAAGCCGCCAGCGGAACTCCTAGAGCCCATGCCCGCGCCGGCGAAGAAGGAGCCGCTTTCGGGCAGCATGAGTGCCATGTCCAATCTCCTAGCCTCCGCCGTTCCGATGGAGGTGGACGCGCTCACCAAGCTGGGCGGCGGCGACCTCAAGGATGACAGCAGCAGTAAGTCGGAGAAGAAAAAGAAGAAGGACAAGCATAAACACAAGGAGAAGGACAAGTCCAAGGATAAGTCGGATAAGGAGGAGCGCAAGAAGCACAAGAAGGACAAGCAGAAGGATCGCAGTGGCAAGGATAGCTCGCTGGCCAACGACTCCCTCAAGATGGTGATCAAGACCAGTGCCCCGACGAATCCCAACGGCGGCCTCCAGGTGGGCACGGCGGCTCCACTCAAGCTGAAGATTAGCAAGAATAAAGTGGAGCCGAACAACTACTCTGCGGCTGCCGGCTTGGCCGTGGCTCCAGGCTATGGCATGCCCCCAGCGATGGCCACGACATTAGCTTCATCCGCTGCTGGTGTGGGATTAATGGCAGCGGTACCTGCTCCTGCATTGCCTCCATTTGCCGGCGGCTACAACACGGGCTCCTCGGGCAGCGGCAGTAGCAGCGGAGGCAACAAGAAGAAGCACAGCGAACGTGACCGGGAAAAGGAGAGCAAAAAGAGCAAGGGTCAGGACTATTCGAAATACAATGGAGCTGTCGGAGCAGGAATTGGTGGTGGCGTTGGCGTTGGTGGCGGCGTATTTGCCCCTCTCGGCGGTGCAGGCGCCGCACCCAACATCTCCACGGCGATGAGCCTGGCCTCGAGCATGCCGATGACCACCACCACATCCTCCATGCTGATGACGCCAACGAATGCTGTTCTCCCTATCGGCCTGCCACCGCCCGCCCTGCCCGTCTACAGCAAGAAGTAGCATCAGGAAAAGGAGGAGGAGGAAAAGGATAGGCAGGAGCTGCCACAGGATGAGGAGAACGAGGAGGGGAGACAGGAGCAGGAGGAGAGGGAGCTCCTAATTAATCCATAAGTCGCACTTTTTGATAACTGTATAGAGAGCCCGTAAGCCGATGCTAGATTTAGTCGTTAGGATTGTTGGTGAGATGCAGATTCAGATGCATTAGTGGCCTAAGTTATTATTGATTCATTTTAGTTAAGCAAAATCTGAAAAATCATTAAACCACAAAACACACAAACCCGAGGATCGAATTCGAATCGCCCTATCGAAAACGAAGACGAAGTCGGAGATGCAATTCGAAGAGACGGCTGATCTGATTCTGATCGATTCTCCAGGTGGAGAATATTTATATAACTCAAAACTCAATGAGCGAAAACTTTTGTACAGCATTAATTAATTTATAATTATACTACATTACACACTTATACTTACACACACACACACACACACACACAACAAGCAAACACAAACACATAATAGTTTTAAACGAGTTGTTGGCATCGGAATCGGACTTAGGAATCCAAGAATCGGACAAAATAGAATGAAAAAACAGAGACAGACATACAGACATAGAGACCCATCGTACATATAGAGAAGTACATGCTCTAGCGAGGGCTTCTCGATTAGTTGCAACCACAACACGGCCGTCTAGCATTTAAGTTAGCAAATCAATACCACAGACAACACTATCTGATGTATATAGCCACACCACACACACACACGCATACACACACACACAGGCACTCACAATTGAATACACAAAACGAGAGAGAGACACTTAAAAGATATATATAGGACCGACTTCCGCTTAGCAAATATACAATATATAGTACGGCCCCCCACTAATTACAGGCCGTTGCAGAAGAAGTTCAGGAGATTCAGAATAATCCACACCGAACAGAGTAGAAATACTAGCAGGACGAGAGTAGAGCAGAGAAGTGAAAAGATAAAGCCAGCGCTTTGATTCAAAATTGAAGACGCCAAACTACATAATAAATTATTGAATTAAATCATAGTTGCTACGCGAAAAGTAAATGACGATGATAATGATACAAGTGAATGCAAATGCAGTGAGGTTATTCTTTAGTTAGCAAAGTTTTTCTATCCCCGTTTTTCAATTCCGAATTCCAACTTGGTTTTCCATACAACCTACCCCCTTCCTCCCCCTCCAATAGCAATACTTACAGCATTGTATTTCAGTGCTTTTCGATGAATAGAATTAAACTAAACCAATACCAATTTGATCGTTTCGGCGGTGGATAATATGTTTAAAAGGTCGCCCGAAACGTTGACGTAGCTTTCATTTGTTTTTAATTTATTTTTAAAGCTAGCATTACGAAAAGGAAACAAAACAACAACAAAAATCCCTAAACAAAAACAAATTATACAAAACAAACAACAACAAAATAACCCCCAAAAACAAAATTATGTGTAAAACAAAAATCGTTGTGCAAGAAAATAGAAAAAACGTTACAAAAAATGATGTAAAAACACGAAAGCTAAATGGAAAAATTACAAAAAAAAAAAAAATATGAAAAGTTCGAAACTTATAGAAATCTAAGCGGAAAGTAAATGCATCTTCGAGGCGGAAATAGTCAGGAGAAAGTGAAATCAAATGAAATTGAATTTTTATGTAATTTTTGACACTAAGCAAACAGTTAAGCGAATGTTTTTCACCACTATTCGTATTCGTATTCAATTTCTCTACTACTGCATTAAGCTGCAAGCATACAGAGTATATGCATATAGTATATACACATACATATATGTAGCCCTAAACTATCCACTAAACACACACACACACGTACACAGACACATACTTCCCCCCCTATACACACACACACAATACAAATCATATAATTTAAGTTATAATTGAGAAGACCCCCACGGAGACATCCGTGTTTCTAATCTTTCGATCGATTGGAGTATCGTACGAATGTGTAATTTGCAGCTAAGATTTAATTTTTCTTTTTACATACTTATTCTTGAAACTACCCCCTAGATCCCCCCGCCCATACCCTACCCTACCCTTCCCCTCCCCTACTTTAAGTTTTTGTATATACATAGAAAGAAAGAAATGGAAAAGCCGCTCCTCGAGGATCGGGCCAGTGTCGGGTTTCATTGGGATCACGGTTGGGTACGAAGTGCGGTCGGTCGGTCGGTGTGTTCGAATATGAATTCACTCGACACTGGCCCGCTCCCCGAGGGACTCGGAAAACCAGGCAAAAATCCAAAACAAAAAACCAATAAAAATGAGAAAAAATAAACAAAAAAATCAGGAAAAAAATTAAATAAAAATAAATGTAAATTCGTTTTTATTCAGACCCCCACATGATCCCTGATCCATCCGAGATAGCTGGTGATGCGCGTAAAGACCGCCGGAAAGCCTACCTCGCAGCCCATGTTGGTACCGAAGGAGGTGGAGCCAATTAGGGTGGTGTCGTTGCCCTCCATGACGACCAAAGGACCGCCGGAGTCGCCTTGGCAGGTGGACTTACCGCTGGTGGTACTCATGCAGATCATGTTCTCCGACACGGCCCCGCTCCAGTACATCTTGCACAGGGTATGCGGCAGAATGGGCATCTTCACGAAACGAAGCGCCGGAGAAACCACATCCGAGCTGTCGCTGTCCCGTCCCCAGCCCGAGGCGTAGGCCTTCTGGTACTCGTAGGTGGGATACGTTCCGTTGACACGCCTTGGCAGGCCGGCGGACCGAATGCTATCGGTGAACCGCACTAAGACGGGCAACCGGATCAGTGAAATGTCGTTGGCCACCGTGCTCGCCGTCCAGTTGGTGTGCACAATGATCTGGGACTTGTCCACCTGGAACCGCCTCTGTCCGGGCTCTTTCTCGTCCTGGATGTTGATGGCACCCAGGTAGACGGTGGCCGACTCTGCTCCGTCCGTGCAGTGGGCAGCCGTCACAATCCAGCGATGGGAGATCAGAGTTCCACCGCACCAGGTGCTCGTGTTGCCAAATGAGATGTTCAGCCCCGCCTGGTAGGGAAACTGCCCCACCACGGCAAGGTCCCCGTTCGTGATGCGTGACTCCAGACCCGCCAGAAGAGGCACAGCTGCGCAGGAGCCAGCCAGCGCGACAGTCAGCAGGAAAAGCGACAGTATCTTCATCTTACTTAATTGGTTGTCCAATGACTGGTGGGGAGGATTGTCCAACGGTTATATAGGAGCTGAGTAGCCGTATTGCCTTATCGACGAGCGAGAAGCCCTCGACAATTGAGCACCCCAGATAGTTGGCGGCGTAGAATCACCTGGTTGGGATTATTTCCATAGATACGTGCTAAAAACAATCTACTTAAAGGTCGTTCCTTAATTTGTGTGGGATTTGTAATTGGTTCCCAATGAATCATTATGAAGGATTGCCAATTGAAGTCAGCGTATTAAACAGACTGTACGTGATAAAAGTTTATGAAGATTCCCTTGTGAGTAGGGAATTGATAGCCCTGAAGACCGACTCCAACCATTTGAGTCGTTCAATCCGTTGGAAAGGTAAGTGGCTCTCAAAATATCGCATGAGAGAAACGTTGTTTCGGCTCACATTTGAAAAGACTACTTCAGGCAGATTAGATCGCAGAAGTAGAAGCTACTCTCTTAGAACTCGTATATGATAGTATTACGCCTCTGGAATAGTAATACGTCAATAATTGAATATATATGTTATCAAAAGAGCCCGATAATACATATGTACACTATGTACAATCTATGTATATATAGAACCACATTCTCTGACAATAGGTATATCTGCGAATCACGAGGTTTCATTGATGAAAGATTTCCCAGAAAAATCAATGGTTGTTTTACTTATGGCGGCTATTGGGTAATAAAAGGACTGCACATCATAATATCCTCAGTAAGGATACACAAAACTCTACACATTTATATGGAGTTTACCACACTGGGAACACGCTGAACTGAACCCCATTGCTATCGGAAACCCCTAGCAAATGAAAGCAAATCACATGTATTTCAATAAGTTCAGCCATCAAGTGGCGTTCAGATGGCTTGCAACCGATAATCCGTAATCGAGCATTATGGCCACCCGGACGACTATGAACGGCCAATCAGGGCAGATTAATCCACTGAAGAGACCATAAATCCACATTCAGGCTGGTACGCCATGTCAGTGGCAGAAAGAGTGGAATATACTGAAGATGCAAATAGGTTCGGCTCTGGTTGGTCTTCTATTCGTCGCTGTTCAGGTGGGATGTCTGGATCTTAGACATGGCGCACTGACGGGGCGCATCAGCGGCGGAGAGGTGGCCCGCGATAATCAGTTTCCCTATCAAGTGGGCCTGTCTATAGAGGAGGCCAACGACTTGTTTAGTTGGTGCGGAGGTAGCTTGATATCGGATCAATATCTGCTGACGGCTGCGCACTGTGTGGAGGAGTAGGTTTTTCCCAAAGTTTTTAAATAGATTAAGCTGACAACTATGCCCCTACAGAGCCATCTCCATCACATTCTACTTGGGCGGAGTGCAGCGACTGTCTCCCCAACAGCTAATCCGTGCGAACAGTCCCGTCGTATACCTGCATCCTGACTGGGACAGCCAATCTCTGGAGAATGACATTGCCCTGCTGCGTTTGCCCGAACCTGCCGTCTTTAGCAGCTCCATAGATGTCATCAGACTGCCAGGAATGGCCTCGAGCCATGTCAGCTACGACTACGTCCCGGCCACGACCTCTGGATGGGGTCGCATGAGCGATGGTATGTATATTCTCTCACTCGATCTTAGATTTCCCCTGAATATACACTTTTTTTAGAATCAGCTTTAATTTCCGATCATCTTCGCTTTGTCGTCCAGTTTGTGGAGTCGAATGAGGACTGCCAGTATGCCTACGCCAACATCAAACCCACCAACATCTGCATGGACACAACCGGCGGACGCTCGACCTGCACCGGAGACTCCGGAGGTCCACTAATCTACTACGATCCCCTGCAAAGTGCCAATATCCTGATAGGTGTCACTTCGTATGGCAAGAAGTCGGGCTGCACCAGGGGCTATCCCTCGGTCTTCACACGCGTCACGGCCTACTTGGATTGGATAGCGGAGGTGAGTGGAGTTGTCTACCCGTAGAGTGACTCGCCGATGGCTGATGAAACAGTGCTGGGCACTGTAAATAAATTAAATGAAATGTTGAGCATTTCCAAAGTGGGACTGTTATTGATATTTTCGGACAGAGAACGCTGGGAGTGCGGGCTGGGACGGGTACACTTAAGAAAGTGTCGCAGTTTGAAATCGAGACAGGGTAAGATAACCCAACAAACCACCTTCCTATGGCCATTGATAAAGAGTTGGTTGATATATGTATAAAGGATATTGGACAAATATCGGAAAGGGAAATGAGGGATGGGATATGTTCTCTATTCTCTACACGATCTCAAAAGCTCCAAGTTCGATTCTTTCTCTGGGAAATTTCCAATTAGCCGCTGATTGATCTCTCGTTAGGCTATCTTTTGGCGAGGAGAAAATGCCAATTCATTTGGTTTGGCCCCTACCCGTATCTCTCAACAGTTAACAGTTTCAAGAAGCACAACCAGATCTGTTCTGGTTCCCATATCGCGGATGTGGCGCATGCCATGCCGATAGGCGCGTTACGTTACACAAGGAGCGGACACTAGCCACTTGAGCAGGTGCTGGAATCAGAATGACCACAGATCAGATAGGGCGGGACGTCATGCGGTTCGATTGGCCGGATGGGCGTCTATAAAAGCGGCGGGACGAGCTCAAATCACTTATACTTTTCATAGGTAGCCCAATCATGAAAGTGCTCGTTGTATTCGCTTTGGCCCTGGCCTACGCCTCGGGATCGGCTCTGCGCGGTGTCCAGACGGGACCCGGCGGACGCATCACCCACGGCGAGGATGCCCGCACCGACCAGTTCCCCTACCAGGTCGGACTTTCGCTGAAGATCGGCTCCTCCTCGGCCTGGTGCGGTGGCTCCCTCATCGGAAACGAGTGGGTCCTTACAGCCGCTCACTGCACTGATGGGTAAGCAAATCCTGCAGAGATTACAGCGATCAAAAGTGGCTAAGCGTATTGTTCACCTTTAGCGTTGACTCCGTGGAGGTCTATCTGGGCAGCACTGTGCGCTCCAGCCCCAAGGTCAAGCACCACGTCACCAAGGACGACATCATCATCCACGCCGACTGGAACAGCCGCACCCTGCGGAACGATATTTCTCTGATCCGCATTCCCCGCGTCGAGTACAGCAGCGCCATCCATGCCGTCGAGCTGCCCCGCGAGGAGTCGCACTATTCCTCCTACGATGGTGATGAGGTCATCGCCTCCGGCTGGGGCCGCACCTCCGACGAGTCCAGCGCCGTCGCCGCCCACCTCCAGTACGCCCACATGAAGATCATTTCCAACAGCGAGTGCAAGCGCACCTACTACACCACCATCCGCGACTCCAACATCTGCGTCTCCACCCCCGCTGGCGTTTCTACCTGCAACGGAGACTCCGGTGGCCCTCTTGTCCTGGAGAACAGCAAGGTCCAGATTGGTCTGACCTCCTTCGGCTCTGCCGCCGGCTGCGAGAAGGAATACCCCGCTGTCTTCACTCGCGTCACCAGCTACTTGGGCTGGATCCATGAGCACACCGGCATCTCCCGTTAAGAGGCTGATGTTCCGGTCCTCGTCCGGAGTAATAAAGAATCGATTTAGAAAAAATGTAATTAAGCCCTGGTACTCATCTTGATGACGAATGCGCAACAGTTAGCGACGCTATGTCTCGGCCAAATGGGCTCCGATCGGCGAAGCTCCTACATTCCCAGTATCATGGGGATGCAGATTGTCATGATCATCATGATATTTGCCTGTCCTTTATCCGTGTGCCAATCGATGGACATGACTCTCCCGATCACACAAGGACATGCCACGTCCAGATCGGCTGATATAGCTTAATGAAAAAACCAACATTTTTAATATTTAGACAGTTAAAAGTTCGGGTTGCTATATCTAATCCAAATGGACCCGATCGGACCTACTTTTCCAGGGTCGTTAGGATCGAGACTGTATATCGGCTATCCCCCGATCACATGATTATACCATGATTCTGTAGCTACATATGTTCCGTGCTCGAAAAATTACTGGCCGTATAGTAGAGCTGAAAGTAGTGAATCATTGGAAGAGGATAGTGAAGAGATATGTAGACCCACTTAACATCGCGTCTATTCTTTATTATTTGGCAAGACAACCCCGGCAAGCGGGGTAACATTGTACTCCTTGCTGTCAAACTGCGCGAAGAAGTCCAGAAGCGTATGCACTATGCACTAGTAGCGGAGATACAAATTAAATCAAACAAGCACAAATCTAACTTCTTAAAGATGTACGCCACCTCGTTGTTAGAAGACACCTTGAATATTTAGTGCTGTCAGACGCGAAAACAGCCACACTAAACAGTGAAATAACAAACAACAAACAACAAAAAACACAACCCGCTTGATCTTCAGATAACTGACAATTCAACAATTTATTCCATTCCATTCCAGTGTGTACCTTTTACAATTTATTTCTCTTTTATTTCTAATTTCCCCCAATATTTACAGGCGGAAAAGCGAATTATTCTTTAATTGGACGGACTGATGTAATATGAAGATTTCGTTTGCTAGATAGGTATTTCATTTCTATATACGAGTATGTATGAATGTGGTTACGATTATAACATATGTATATATATACGGGTATTATTGCCTTCTATCCCATAGAGAAGAATGATAACCTGAATGCCATTTCCACAATGTTCTGTGGAACATCAGAGCGGTGACATATGTAGACCTCCTTGGCTGGCGACTGAAACAGTCGACCGACCACCACAAAGCGAACAGATTTCGTGGCGCAGGCCTGATTCTCCGTTCTGGATTGGGGGGACACTTCCAGTGTCATCCCGTGCTCCCTCACCAGAGATATTGCATTGCTGCTACTATGTCCATTGGCGTTGGGAGACACTCTTATGGATTCTGTGAGCTGTCTGCGGTAGTGCTTGGAGCGCTCCAGTACAGAGTGAATCATGTGGCAGGCCTGCCGAATCTCGGACAGAAATGTGGTACTCTCCGTGCAGTCATTGAAGGGAGCGAACAGAGACCCATTGGCTATATCAATGTACACATAGTAAAGGACACAGTTCTTCCAGCCGGCGGATATCTTCACGGGCACCACATTGCTGATTTCCTTCCACATCGACTCAGTCATCTGGCTCTGATTGTGGGTCTCCGAATTCAAATTGAGACCATAGTGCAGCGGATGCTGGACGGCAAAGTTCTCCCAATCCGACTCGCTATCGGAATCCTCTGCGCCGCCATGGATGGGTGTCAGGCGCTTGCGCGACGAGTCGTCTTCGCTGGGCGTCAGACTGTGTATCGACGATCCGCCCAGGGAGGAACAGAGCTGCGCTGCCTCCTCATCCACCGATACTGCAGTACTCAAGACCGTGAGCTTCTGCTTAAGGAAGGACTCCAGCTTGCCGTTGGTCTCCTTCTCGTCCTTTGCCTCAGCGCCAGCTTGTTCTAGCACTTGAGGTCGCTTGTTTGAAATGGACCAGAACATGGCGAGGGACTCAATGCCGCACTGAATAAGGTGATCCAGTGTCTCCTGTATTTCCTCGATGTAAAAGAGCGATGGTCCCACCACGGTGTCCGGCGCCATGTCAGGGGCATCGAATATCTTCAGGATAACCGCCAGGCTGAGATGGTTGCGTGTGCAGATGGTCAGAAAGTAGCGGCCCGTGGCATTGGGCAGCACGATCTCCTCCCACACATACAGCTCCCGGACGCGCACACTTGGTGCTCCAATTAGATCGAAGATCCCTCTGCACCGCAGGAAGCCCTCGACATTGGCCCGCACTTCAGCTGGCAGCAGGCTGGCCACCAGGAAGTGATTGTAGTACAGAGCGCTGCCATAGATGAAGAACTCGCGGTGCGTGGTCAACGGCTCATCGTTCCAGTTGCGATAGTCCATGGCCTCCATCTCGCTCAGTGCGTCGAATACGCGCAGCTGTGCCTCCTTGGGCAGGGGCAGATTCCGGGACTGGCCGAGCAGTTCCTCAAACTGGGTTAATCCCCGGCAATTGAGCAACAGCCGTGTGCGCTGAATGCCACAGAAGTGGCGCAAGAATGATCTTAGGTCTCCGGCACTGCCCTCTGCTCCTGCTCCTGCTCCTCCAAAGTTTTCCAGCACCAAGCCCGGCATGGAGAAACGGATATAGCCAATCAGCTCATCCGACCGCATGTTGCACTCGGCCGCACTGTAGAGGCTGCTCGTGTAGGCGAACAGCACCAAAAATCCATTCAGCCGACGGTAGTTCACGTGATAGGGGACCTGGTCTACTAGCAGGCGCGACGTGATCGGCTGGGTGTGCAGCTCGCTGAGAACGGCATGCAGGGTGAGGAAGCTGCCACGTGCCTTGTACAGGAAGTTGGTCGTTGCGCCCTCTGGGTAATAGTACAGCGAGTCATGGTGCTGGTCATGCTGGTAGCATTCCGGTGGCAGCAACAGCATACCAAAAGGCATATGATCCAACGCATCGGCTGTCTTAATGGTGCCGGGCTCTAAAGGAACAGCGGGCAGAAGGAGTTCCTCAAACTTCTCCGCAAACATGGCAAAGTTCTCCACCTTGCGCACCTGCTCCTCCTGTTGGCTATGTCCGTAGGTCGGATCCGCTGCCGCTGCTGCTGCTGCTGCGGCGGCGGCCGTAGAGCTGGAGGAGGCCTGGAAGCAAAGGCAGACCTGGGTGGGCTCCACGAACTGCTGCAGGAGCTCGTCGACATTGCTGGCATACAGCTCGATGCCGTTGAGGGACTTGAACCAATCGCCGCGCTTGATGTCGTGCTGCATGGCGCTTATGTCGTGCACAAAGCCCTCGACCATGAGACACTCGGGCTGGTCGGGAAAGGGCAGCACACGGAATCCAAGAATCGACTCCACCGCGGTGGAGCGGCGTCCAAAGCGAAACCGATCTGCTGCAGTTATAACTAGCTGCAGCTTCTTGTTGCTGCTGCTGGCGTCCCCATGCGACGTCTTAAAGTGTGAGAACCGAAACTCGTCGGGCTCGGGCTCTGACAACTGGTTGCGACTGTGGCTCTGGGTCTGCATCTGCGTTTGCGTCTGCGTCTGCGTCTGGGAGTGGGACGGGCGACTGCCATTATGTTGACGTCGCATCGGCTTCTTTCCCAGGCGCAGTGAGCGGCGCATGAATTCCACCCGACGCTCCGCCGAAGTCGCTATGCTTGACTTCGCATTGGGCATGTATTCAACATAGAAGAGGCTGCCGTCCGCAGCCACGTATTCCTCCCAGCTGGCCGAATCGCTACCGTCACTGTAGGAGTTACTAAGCGAAGAGCTGGAGCTCGAAAATGCCTCCGAATTGGCATCAATGCCAGCCAGACTCCCCAGAGACTTGCGCATTGCGGCAGCTATTAGACAAGATGTCTATTTTCAATCAGTTCGCGTTCTACCGCTTATAGTAGTATCACGAGCGCCGCTGATCTTCACATTTGAATGTCGACTGACTGAAAGACTCTTCTCACGTCTGCATAGAACCGAATGCCCAAAACTACTCACAGTTCTACTCGTACCTTGCTCAAAACCTGTTTCTAATTGCAGTCGAGCCAGAGATCAGCGTTAACCCACCTGGAGCAGGCTGTGTTGATTGCCTTTGTTCTCTTTCCAACTTAACAGCGGGAATCGACACACGCTCTTCGCTTCCACTCATACAGACTGGAAATAAATCATGGTAACTGATCACAATTGAAGCAACAGAAGAAAGAGAGTAGGTCTTTACTCGTATATGATAAATGTAAACCAATATATAAACATATTTTGCCTTTTTTTGCTTGTTTAATTTTAGAATAATATTTTAGATGTGAAATCCCACTGAAAGAAATACGAAAGTAAGAATCTTTATTAGCGCTAATCAACAGATAATCTTAGCTTTAGCTAAAGGGTGTTATCGCTTTCATTTGAACTGTAAATCACCGCTACGGGCTTCTAATATTAGTATGTACTCGTATGTAGACTTATAGACTGGCGAGACATGCAATTTATATCGTTGTTAGTTGATCCGTGTTGCTGCTTACACAGGTTAGCATTATAGACTAATCTGCGTTCGGCAACGAGCCATAATTATCCGATAATGAAACATGGGGTTCTACTCAAACGAACCGTGGGACTGGCGGCGGAACGCATTCTGCCACCGAAAGACTGATACCCGTTTGCTGATAGCTCAACTCCAGCCCATTCAAAGGCAAGCCAGGCAAAATATTGCCAAAATTGATAAGCCGTATCGTGTCAGTATTAGCCACATATCGCTGCTACCAATTATATTCGCTGACCATTCGCTAACACTTGTTCGGTTAGTCTTTTTCGGGAACGCAGAAGCTTCGGTACGTTCAAAACACGTTTGAAAAACATCCCAAAGGGAATTCTATAGGAAAGCAAAATGTTGCATAGCTTTCGGAGCGCAAAGATAAAGTGATTAAAATTTCCCCACCATTAACAAACAAAACGAGATTTAAATAGACGGAGAACTTGAATAAAATAAGACGATAAGCAAGAACGGAAGTGTCCATATATATAATATATACATATATATCTACAGATGAATACTACGAGTATTTACGAGTATGTTTGCTCATTGAAAAAGTAGGAACTTGCTTTTTGCTTTCGACAATCAATAATTTGTGGGGCTCTGATAACGGCGATAATTAATAGACCTACAAAATGCCTTCAGTATTCATATTAAAAGTGTTTCTGGTCGTGTCTCTGCTACGCGAAAATGCACAAGTAATACGTGCCATCGAGTTATCAACTTCCGACGGTCTGCCTGATGCTTTGGTTCCCGAAAACCCAGATCTACGGCAGAGTGGGAGCGATGAGAGTGGAGAGTCCACTGCGGATGCGGATCTCAAGTCGGCTTTGCTTAAATACGATTCTGATGACGGTAATAGTTGTCTCCTGGATATCATCAAAGAGGATGTGCTGTGGTGGACATACCCAAATGGAACCCTGAAGCAACTGAATGGAAAATACTGTGAGTAGATGGAAACATTTCTTCCCAATTATTAAAAGTATTTTGTTATCTGATCCATTTATGCTCAGCAACACGTTTATATTTGGACCTATCGCATGGCAACATGAAGGAGGACACAGACTTGTTCCAGCCAACCAAACTATCCATTACATTTAACATGAGGAAAGTTGAAGTGTTTTCGGCTGCCTACAACACTCTCAACGCAGTGCCATACCAAGCCCTGTACTCTTTGAAGGACTCGTTGAAGCTTTTAACTTTGCGGGGAAACAAATTCGCTGACCTAATGCCGGATGCTGAGGGTAAGTATTGGCTAGACATTGGTTTGCAGTTTAACAATAGAAACAAGAGACACATACACCCCTTCCTATGATCAGTTATCATTCACAATTTCAGCCGTTGAGCGGTATTTGAATGAGACTCGTTTGGACTCCAGTCCCACCCCAACACAACACAAATGCGAGCAGATTCTTGCACAGAATGCCACCGATCTGTTCGATCGGGAGTGCTTTCTATACATTCAAAACAACACGAACACGAACACAAGCAACGCAACTATGGCCCCAACAAATGATAACACCTATGGGGATTACATTCAGTTCCTAAAAGAGAAGGTTGACCTGCTTGGGAAGTCACGTAAGACCACTATTACAACACTTTCACACACTTATGCCCAAAGGCAATGCATCTAATCTGTGGTATATGTTTCCGAAATATTAACGTACGAAATCTACTTTAAAATCTTTCGCTTAGAACAATCCATTGCATGGGCCACCTTTCCGAGTCTAACACGACTTGTGGAACTAGACATTAGCAACTGCAGCATTGAGTATGTGCAGAAGGAGGCCTTTAGGAACATCACCAACTTGAAGAGGCTCTTCATGTCCGACAATAAAATCATGACTATTCAACAGGATACGTTCTATTATATTCAGAGCGTGCAGTATTTGGATATTTCCTTCACCAACGTACTCACGTATAGTTACCAAATATCTATGCCTACACTTGAAATGGCCATGAGCCTTATATACGGCCTAAAGATACAGCAGAACGCATTCAAACTGCTGCCGGAATTGGTCTACCTGGATGTTTCCCACTCGAAAATGACCCGCAACAGTGCCGTGGCCTTCGCACATTTGGGGCCCAAGCTTAAGTTCCTAAGCTTGTGCTACACGGCCATTCCTATGGTGAGCAGCGCGATTTTCAAAAACACCGTCCTCGAAGGCCTCGATTTGTCGGGAAACCCCTTCGTGTCGAACAACATCCTAGATGATGCATTCGATGGGATTGGCAGTACGTTGAAGTACCTGTATTTTGAGCACTCCAACCTCAAGGATATGGAGTGGTCCAGGCCCCTGAAGAACGTTCAAATCCTGGGCTTGGCGGGTAACAACATAAACGCGTTGTCCTCGGCCATGTTCGAGTCCCTGCAGAGCTTGGAAATCCTCGATTTAAGCTCTAACCACGTTGGTAATTGGTATAAGAGCGCTTTCGACAATAACTCCGAGCTACGTGTGCTGAATCTTCGCAGTAATAACATCAATGTCCTGACCAATGAGATGCTCAAGGACTTTGAACGCCTGGAGTACCTGAGTCTCGGCGACAACAACTTCATTTGCAACTGCCACCTGAGGGAAGTGGTCGAGGTGGCTGCGGGCAACAACAAGGAAGCCGACTGCTCGTACAACCTGCTCAACATAAGCCCCACAAGTTCGATGAGCATCCAAAAACTGCTGGGTACCGCGGAAACTCTAAATATAAATCGAAAGCTCTGGCAGAGCCGATTCCTGCCACATTTGAATAAGAGCTACAACAATATAAAGGACTATAAGCGCGTGAACAAGATTTTCAAATTGCGATTCTTGGCTGGCGAGTATAGTGCCTCCAGATGTCCTGCCTCGACACCCTACCAGTTGTCTGAGCTAAGCAACGAACTGCTGACCCTAAAATTTCAGCTGCTTGACTATGATGCGACGCAATACTGGTGCTTCAATGACACCGATCAAGTGCAGGTGGAGGAGCTGAACTGTCAGGTTCGGTCCATGAGTGAGATCACGACGGACTTGCACAACCTTACGACGACGGTTATCGCGGTGCTCGGCAGCATCCTTGGCCTGTGCATCTGTGGCTTCATTATCTATCTAAAGCGCTGGCATATACACTACTACTACTCGTCGCTAAAGTCCGCAGCCCTCCTTTCCAGCGCATCGAAAGAGTCGGTGGACAGCTTTACGCATTTGTCCCAACGTGATCCCAGCACTGTCTACGATATCTTCATTAGCTACTGCCAAAACGACCGTACGTGGGTGTTGAATGAACTGCTGCCCAATGTCGAGGAAGCAGGAGATATTTCCATATGTCTGCATGAACGAGACTTTCAGGTTCGGTGTTTATTTGTGTTGGGTCCCTTGGGAGTGTGTACTAATTCAATGCCATCCTGTTTGTAGATCGGAGTGACTATACTGGACAACATTATCTCATGCATGGATCGATCGCACTCATTGATGCTGATCATATCCTCCAAGTTTCTACTGAGCCACTGGTGTCAATTCGAAATGTATTTGGCCCAGCATCGGTGAGCGATACCATTTTTGCATGCAATTGCAGCTCTGAAAAATATTTCTTTCAGCATCTTTGAGGTCAGCAAAGAACATTTGATCCTCGTATTCTTGGAGGATATACCGCGAAGCAAGCGTCCAAAAACACTACAATATTTAATGGATGTGAAAACCTATATCAAATGGCCAGTCGGCAAAGGCGACGAAAAACCAAAGCTGGAGGAGCGTAAACTATTTTGGAAACGCTTGAGAAGATCGCTGGAAGTCATTGGCATTCGAAGTCATTCGAAAGAGATCAGAGCTTAAGAACACCTTAGCCCATTACATTATTTAAAGAGTCCTAGTCAGTTTTGCATGTACCTGATAAAATATAGTTTAATACGTAAAATATACTCAAAACTTCAATGCCGCTATGCATGCGCATGTGCCACGAGCACATCCGTGCCCAGCATCACGTTAAGCATGGTGGCCGGATGCAGTATGGTCCCTTCCTCAAGGGCATTGGTGTAACGCTTGAAGATTCCATTCGCTTCTGGCGTGAGGAGTTCACAAAGAAGATGGATGCAGATAAGTTCATGCGCAGCTACGAGTACAACATCCACCACAACTATGGCAAAAAAGGATCCATGGTTAACTACACTCCCTACTCGTGCTCCAAAATCATCAAGGAAATGGCGGCACCGGGCGACTGCCACGGCTGTCCCTATAAGTCCGTGGATCCGGCTACACTCAAAACAAAACTGGCCTCCTACGGCCTGTCGCCCAGCCACATCGAGGAGGTGATGTTCTTTGTGACGCGCGGTCACTATCAGATCGCCTGTGGCAACCGACCATTAATCATCCGAACACCTACTTCGAGGAGAGCCAGATCCTGATGGGCAACCGTCAGAAGCGCACTGCTGGCTCCATGCCACAGAAGGCCAAACCAAGGCCAGACATTAAGGGACATGCGGACAGGTCAATGCTCAACGGTGACGACGATGACGAGCTGTGGAAGATCGCGGAGACACAGGGACGGGCATATCAGAGCCAAAAGGACATCTCGGAGGCCTTTAATGATGATCTAGATCTTACGGAAATTACATTCTAATCAGCTAAAATAGTAAAATTACGTATCTGTAGGCTAGCAATCGTGTTTAATGTCTCACGTCCGACAAAGGTGGCAGGTCTCTGATCTGGGATTTACCGCCTTACTAATACTTCGACCATACGGGGGCCATCCATTCACATCTACGTAATAGATGCCTCTTGCTTTTCTATCAATTATGTATCCCATCGAGGAAGGATTGCCCGTGCCCAAGCCCGTGACCGCCCTGCAGTCGCGCCGTCTGAGCTCGTCCCAGGAACTGCATTTGGTGGCCATAAAGTTCTTCTCCTGTTGGGGATATGCGCTCTCAGCAAAGTACTCTACAGCGCGTGTGTGCGAGCAGCCAATGGTCAGGCAGCCGGGCTGTATGGGATGTGCGCCACCCGGATAGAAATCAACATCTCCCAGCGGCCCACGCTTCGCCAGAATACCAATGTTGGTGTGAATGATGTCCACCAGCTGCGCATCCCCCCGGGTCAGTCCCGGCAGAATGTTTTCTTGCCGAAAACAGGGTTTCGCGGGGTCCAGTCCAGTTATACGGGGTACCAGTCGTCCAGTAAGCCGCTGAAATGTGCGCCCAGCAGTGCCCATTATGTGTGCCCCCAGGGAGTGCCCTACGGAAGCTAACGTATCCAGTCATATATCCTTAGATTCCTTAGACTATAAATTACCGATCAAGTGGATATTTCTCAGTGGAGTGAGCTCTGTCAAGTGCGTTAGACCCATAGCAATGTACTCGCCGATAAGGTCCGTGTTTAATGCCGACCAGGAGTACAGTGTGTCCACATAATCGGCTGCGTCCACAATCTGAAATTGTTCTTGTTATTTAAGTGAACTTCACAGTGATGTGCAGGACTTTTTACACACAACAAAATTTACGTCGCGGCGACACATGAAGGCTCTCGATATCATGGCGATGGCGGAGGATTCGTTAACGGTGTTTGTCCAGCCGGTAGCCAAGATGACCACCTTGCGACCCTTGCCAAACTTGGAGTGATTCCAGAGCTTCGCTGCATCCAGCAGTGGAACACTGTAGTTGTGGCAGGGCGTCATGTACTGAAAGTGCATTTTGTTTATATCTGGAGTGATCTTCGGTGGTACTCTGCCCATAAACAGCGTGGAAGAGCCTGTGGAATCACAGCGATTGACATGCGTGCTAATAGAAGACATATTCTATTCTTACACAGGGTATCTATCGCATTGGCTGCCAGCTCGAGAGGCACAGCCGTGAGGATATTGGCTTTCATGGTCACAATGTCGGTCAGGACTCTGGGCACTGCCTCCCACCAATAGGGTGTAGATCTGCCATCAGTTTCTGTCATCTCGGCGTTTAAGGCATGACAATGCACAGAGATTTGTAAGAGGAGAAAACACTGAATCCGCATTTCACGAATTTTACGAATATGTGTAAGTGTCTACTCCGATCCGAAGCGAAGCTCTTTCTGCCTTGCGTAAGGCTGCAAGTGTATCGAAATACTTTTGCGAGCATTGTTCTTTCTCTTCATTGTTCCCAAGTCTTAGCCTTTGCCTTATGTTTGCATAATCTGCTATATTTTGCAAATGGCAATGGCACAAATTGCTTATTAATATTCGTGTTTAATTGACCTCAATTTGGTTTTTGCTGAAAAAATGTGTCACTTCTTTCTCATCTTTCGGCGGTAGAGCTTGGATATTTTCATAAATTTAATCTTAAGTTGTAATCTTATAAAAACGAAGCGATATCCTAATATCCCGTTGTTGTGCTAGGCGTCATATAATTTAGATATATCTTCGTACTGTACATTATCGACTATTCGCCCCTTGAGCGGACCGTGGAGTATCTCAACGCTGACGGAGAACTTGCGTTCGTCTAGCTTTTTCAGCAGAGCCTCGGCACCGCGATATGCGCCATTAACGACCAGCACTGTTTTGCCCATGGCCGGTATCACAGTCTCCAAGTGGGCCTGGAAGAAAAATAAAAAGAGTCAAGCTAAAGCTGGTGGCGCATATAAACTGGGCGTACCTGATCCACTTTGAGCTTTTCGCCCGTATCAAGGAATTTGATTTTCGCCTGATACTTGTCGATTAGTTCCTGCACAACAGCTTTCTGCTTGAAGAACTTGTCGCCCATGGACTTTGAGATGAATTTCACCACTATGTTCTTGTGCAGCCAATAATCCTTGCGGTTGGCACGCTCTTTTTTCGCCTCCTCCTGTTGGATGATCTCATCCAGCGCAGATTTGGAATGGGAGCCGCCTTTTTCCGCCGACATTGGCTTGGGCTTCTTGAAAACTTTTTCGTCGATCTCAGAGCTCCGTCGTTTTGCCAATAGCGCCGATTTGCCCAAGATCGATTCGGGCTGGAACTTTTTCTCCAATCGGATGTCCAACTTAAGCGGCTCAGCTTCTTCCCGGATAAGCTCGGTATACTTCTCATGCCCACTGTCGTCGTCATCGTCCTTGGACTTTGCCTTTTTGATTTGTTTTTCAATAAAATCAGTCATTCGCTCCTCGTCGTCTTTTTCCATCTTTTCCTTGCGTTCGGCCTTTGCCTGGCGCTCCATGGCCTCGGGGCTGCGATCGATGTATGAGACAAACCATCCTTTCTCCGTCTCGTCCGCCACAACCTGGCCAGTCCGCCCCAGCCATTTGACATAGTCGGAGAGTGTCAGCCAGCGTGTGGCATTCATGTGTATGTGTTCCTTATGTGCAATGTACTCCTGGTATATCTTGTTGGCATTGGTACGCTTGGTGCCGAACCGCCGGCGCAGCAGCTCCAGGTAGCCATCGGAGAACTCTTTCGAGAAATTGTGCAGAAACTTACCAGGCGAGTCTGCAAACAGCAACAGCTGCCGCTGATGCGACTCGCTCATGGTGTGGCATTTGAAGCCGTTCTCGTCTCGGCATTGCTTTTCGCACATTTGACAATACCAGCGCAACTTCTGCAAGCCCTTCGCCTTCATTTTATTGGCGAGGTACTTGGGCGTACCAGCCTCAGCGCGCCCCATTGTTTAATCTATTTTTTTTATAACAAAAAATCACAATTTACGAACAAAGTCAGCTGTAAGCAGTGTGACCGCGTATGTATTGATAAATACATGCCGTAAAAATACCGAGAAAAAAACCCACTTAACCACCTTTATAAGGTCGAACACCTTGAATTAAACCACCATACAGTAATATTTTATGTTATACTATATTTTATTTCAGTATATAATTTATGTTATGTTATAGCCTTTTTACACTGGGCGCGTCTGCTATCGATATCGGCATAGACGCAATGAAGCAGAAAAGGCGTGGAAGACGTGCGTCTTGAATTTGGATTTGGGTGTTTGATGACAAGGAAAGATACACAAATTTTTGAAAATCAACAGAATTAAGCAAGACGTCAGGAAAATGGACGAAAAAGAATTGATTCTCATATCTAAATATTATTTTCAGACATTTCATTGTAGAGTTTGTGGGAGTTCTTCTTCAAATTATGAAAACCACCGAAGTTCGTCTCCAGCAGTGTCTTAATGGCATCAGGGGGTCAGAAAAATTTCATATGATAATAATACAATCAGTTTCAAGTATTTTATTTAATGACTTTATGTATATTTTCACCTTTTTGCACAATCATACATTTTTAGCGCCAAAATTTGATTTTTGATCTACAATTTTTTGTTGTTATTAGTGGTGATAGTTGCGCTGATAGGCAGAAAATACCAAAAATGACCAAAATCAATCGAATATACCGAATAGACGCACATGAATCAGACACTGACGCAACTTTTTGCCACCACTAGGGCCCTATGCTTAACCTATGTAAAAAAAACTGCGTCTTCGCCAAGACGCAAAGAAGCATGACGCAGCCCCAGTGTAAACGGCCTATAATATTATTACATATATTATACTATATTTTATTACAGATTATAATTTTAAAATTTAGGAAAAATGTAAAAATGTATAAACAATTTATAAATGTAATACCAAATTTAAAAAAACCAAGAAATGTTTTTATTGCCCCCTGACAAAAACTGACTGATATGAAACGAAAGAGTATAATTGCTCGCTGACTTAAGCTGACTGATATGAAACGAAAAATTATAATTGTAATACTGGTTTTTTCTTCCTTACGCTATATCTCGGCCAAATAGGGGCAAATTCTCGAAGGACCAACTTTTCCAGAATTATTAGGATTCAAACTGTCCATCGGCTAAAGTTTTCCCCCGATCACATGGAGGCGTGGCCCGCCCTGATCAAACGAAAAATGGCGAAGGAATCAAGGGCTTATAACGATTGCAGGACAATATTCTTATTGTCCTTGACGTCAAACGATGAGGGACTTTCTCCCGATCACGAAGAGGCATGGCACGCCCAGATCGGACTGAAAATGGCAGAGTTATACGCATTTTAAATAATGCTGAATAATGAATGTTTGGTAGTTCCCGTTCACAAATGGCATTAAAGGCAATATCCTTATTGTCCTTGAAGCGAAACGATGGGGGACATCCTACCGATTACGAGGATCCTTATCATATCCGGATTGAGAGAAAAATGACAGGGAAATGTAAGTATTTGAGACTGGGGGAAATATCCTTGATCCTTGGTCCTTTTCTTTGTATTTCGTTGCTCTCTTTTTTCAATCTTCTTTTTCTCATTTTCTGCCTCCACTTTCCACCGCTCAAATGGCAGAAAACGGTTAAATTCAAATCTGAGATACCAGGCGCACAGAAATCAGCAGAAGGTCGCTGCTTTTTTTGATTTCTCTCTTTTTCTTGTTTCTCTATGTATTTCGTTGCTCTCTTTTTTCGATCTTCTTTTTCTCATTTTCTGCCTCCACTTTCCACCGCTCACAGGGCAGAAAACGGTTAAATTCAAATCTGAGATACCAGGCGCACAGAAATCAGCAGAAGGTCGCTGCTTTTTTTGATTTCTCTCTTTTTCTTGTTTCTCTATGTATTTCGTTGCTCTCTTTTTTCGATCTTCTTTTTCTCATTTTCTGCCTCCACTTTCCACCGCTCACAGGGCAGAAAACGGTTAAATTCAAATCTGAGATACCAGGCGCACAGAAATCAGCAGAAGGTCGCTGCTTTTTTTGATTTCTCTCTTTTTCTTGTTTCTCTATGTATTTCGTTGCTCTCTTTTTTCGATCTTCTTTTTCTCATTTTCTGCCTCCACTTTCCACCGCTCACAGGGCAGAAAACGGTTAAATTCAAATCTGAGATACCAGGCGCACAGAAATCAGCAGAAGGTCGCTGCTTTTTTTAATTTCTCTTTTTTCTTGTTTCTCTTTGTATTTCGTTGCTCTCTTTTTTCGATCTTCTTTTTCTCATTTTCTGCCTCCACTTTCCACCGTTCAAATGGCAGAAAACGGTTAAATTCAAATCTGAGATACCAGGCGCACAGAAATCAGCAGAAGGTCGCTGCTTTTTTTGATTTCTCTCTTTTTCTTGTTTTTCTTTGTATTTCGTTGCTCTCTTTTTTCGATCTTCTTTTTCTCATTTTCTGCCTCCACTTTACACCGCTCACAGGGCAGAAAACGGTTAAATTCAAATCTGAGATACCAGGCGCACAGAAATCAGCAGAAGGTCGATGCTTTTTTTAATTTCTCTTTTTTTCTTGTTTCTCTTTGTATTTCGTTGCTCTCTTTTTTCGATCTTCTTTTTCTCATTTTCTGCCTCCACTTTCCACCGCTCACAGGGCAGAAAACGGTTAAATTCAAATCTGAGAAACCAGGCGCACAGAAATCAGCAGAAGGTCGCTGCTTTTTTTGATTTCTCTCTTTTTCTTGTTTTTCTTTGTATTTCGCTGCTCTCTTTTTTCGATCTTCTTTTTCTCATTTTCTGCCTCCACTTTCCACCGCTCAAATGGCAGAAAACGGTTAAATTCAAATCTGAGATACCAGGCGCACAGAAATCAGCAGAAGGTCGCTGCTTTTTTTGATTTCTCTCTTTTTCTTGTTTTTCTTTGTATTTCGTTGCTCTCTTTTTTCGATCTTCTTTTTCTCATTTTCTGCCTACACTTTACACCGCTCACAGGGCAGAAAACGGTTAAATTCAAATCTGAGATACCAGGCGCACAGAAATCAGCAGAAGGTCGATGCTTTTTTTAATTTCTCTTTTTTTCTTGTTTCTCTTTGTATTTCGTTGCTCTCTTTTTTCGATCTTCTTTTTCTCATTTTCTGCCTCCACTTTCCACCGCTCACAGGGCAGAAAACGGTTAAATTCAAATCTGAGAAACCAGGCGCACAGAAATCAGCAGAAGGTCGCTGCTTTTTTTGATTTCTCTCTTTTTCTTGTTTTTCTTTGTATTTCGCTGCTCTCTTTTTTCGATCTTCTTTTTCTCATTTTCTGCCTCCACTTTCCACCGCTCAAATGGCAGAAAACGGTTAAATTCAAATCTGAGATACCAGGCGCACAGAAATCAGCAGAAGGTCGCTGCTTTTTTTAATTTTTTTTTTTTCTTGTTTCTCTTTGTATTTCGTTGCTCTCTTTTTTCGATCTTCTTTTTCTCATTTTCTGCCTCCACTTTCCACCGTTCAAATGGCAGAAAACGGTTAAATTCAAATCTGAGATACCAGGCGCACAGAAATCAGCAGAAGGTCGCTGCTTTTTTTGATTTCTCTCTTTTTCTTGTTTTTCTTTGTATTTCGCTGCTCTCTTTTTTCGATCTTCTTTTTCTCATTTTCTGCCTCCACTTTCCACCGCTCAAATGGCAGAAAACGGTTAAATTCAAATCTGAGATACCAGGCGCACAGAAATCAGCAGAAGGTCGCTGCTTTTTTTAATTTCTCTTTTTTCTTGTTTCTCTTTGTATTTCGTTGCTCTCTTTTTTCGATCTTCTTTTTCTCATTTTCTGCCTCCACTTTCCACCGTTCAAATGGCAGAAAACGGATAAATTCAAATCTGAGATACCAGGCGCACAGAAATCAGCAGAAGGTCGCTGCTTTTTTTGATTTCTCTCTTTTTCTTGTTTTTCTTTGTATTTCGCTGCTCTCTTTTTTCGATCTTCTTTTTCTCATTTTCTGCCTCCACTTTCCACCGCTCAAATGGCAGAAAACGGTTAAATTCAAATCTGAGATACCAGGCGCACAGAAATCAGCAGAAGGTCGCTGCTTTTTTTAATTTCTCTTTTTTCTTGTTTCTCTTTGTATTTCGTTGCTCTCTTTTTTCGATCTTCTTTTTCTCATTTTCTGCCTCCACTTTCCACCGCTCAAATGGCAGAAAACGGTTAAATTCAAATCTGAGATACCAGGCGCACAGAAATCAGCAGAAGGTCGATGCTTTTTTTAATTTCTCTTTTTTTCTTGTTTCTCTTTGTATTTCGTTGCTCTCTTTTTTCGATCTTCTTTTTCTCATTTTCTGCCTCCACTTTCCACCGCTCAAATGGCAGAAAACGGTTAAATTCAAATCTGAGATACCAGGCGCACAGAAATCAGCAGAACGTCGCTGCTTTTTTTAATTTCTCTTTTTTTCTTGTTTCTCTTTGTATTTCGTTGCTCTCTTTTTTCGATCTTCTTTTTCTCATTTTCTGCCTCCACTTTCCACCGCTCACAGGGCAGAAAACGGTTAAATTCAAATCTGAGATACCAGGCGCACAGAAAGAAGCAGAAGGTCGCTGCTTTTTTTGATTTCTCTCTTTTTCTTGTTTTTCTTTGTATTTCGCTGCTCTCTTTTTTCGATCTTATTTTTCTCATTTTCTGCCTCCACTTTCCACCGCTCAAATGGCAGAAAACGGTTAAATTCAAATCTGAGATACCAGGCGCACAGAAATCAGCAGAAGGTCGCTGCTTTTTTTAATTTCTCTTTTTTTCTTGTTTCTCTTTGTATTTCGTTGCTCTCTTTTTTCGATCTTCTTTTTCTCATTTTCTGCCTCCACTTTCCACCGCTCACAGGGCAGAAAACGGTTAAATTCAAATCTGAGAAACCAGGCGCACAGAAATCAGCAGAAGGTCGCTGCTTTTTTTAATTTCTCTTTTTTTCTTGTTTCTCTTTGTATTTCGTTGCTCTCTTTTTTCGATCTTCTTTTTCTCATTTTCTGCCTCCACTTTCCACCGTTCAAATGGCAGAAAACGGTTAAATTCAAAT